ACCGTTGTTAAGCGTGATAAATAACCTTGTTTTCCTGACATGGTACTTTATTTTTATCACACATGTTTTGCTATCATGTTTAAGGGTCATCGTACCAACTCTAAATATCTGTTAGCATGTATAGGACAGTTCGAATCAGCATGGCTTTAATTTAGTTAATCATTTCTAAAAACATACACACATTTTGCCAAACTTTCAACGGAACTTTCTTAATTACCGATTTTAATTTCATCGAATTTAGAAAAATGAAACTGAAATATTCTCATTGAATCAAAAGGGTCTTTATTTGAAGTATACAAATGTAACACATATAAAGCAAACACAACTATCAACATTGTGGCAAAAGCAAAAAGGAGAAATGATGTAAGCTTAAAAATGACGTATGGAATCCGTTAGTTTGTTGCTTGCAGTGGGAAAGGAATACTTCAGATCACAAACCTTTTTTTCCCACTTATTAAATACTATAAACTAAATATATAACAAATATTGCTGTATTTCCTATCATACCACACTTGTTTTGGTTAGTGAATAAGAAAGTGTTTCGCTGTGAATAGTTAGAGGGAATCGCACGAGTGAAAGTGATCAGATCATCAGATTCAGCTGGTAAATTACAGAAACAAGAATACAGATTTTTTTTATACATTTTTTTTCTTCTGTATTCTTGTCAAACTGTATGCTGTCAAACTGTTGATACTACTTTTCCAGTTCTGTGATTGGCTGAATTGTGACATCGCCATAATAGACTCAGAGTAGTTATGTGATAAATAATTTTAGAAATTAAAACTGACTTTAGCTAATGCAGTTTGTATCATCAATTTACGCCTGTATTATTAGGGGTTGCAATATGAAATGTTTTCAGTATGAAAGACTGAAAGGCCAGAGTAATACATGCTAGTTAACACTCTAACATAATTATGGTATTGCTTGAAAATAGCTCATAAATGAATCATTTTGTTAATGGCTGCTTGTTTACAATTTTTTTAATGTTTTTACAGGACGGAAGGGTACCTTATGAAAAATAATATCTACGGGTTTGGGGGATCATCCGAACCATCATCCCCAGTGAGTACGCTATCTTTCAATATACAAAATCCGCCTACTCCTACAGGTCACCAGTCACCTTATCCATTCGTACATCATAACCTTGTCCAGGATTTCATGAGAAGTGGTGACGTTTGGTGTGACGACTGTGGTAAAATAATGATGGCATTGAGTGAGGAGTTAATTACCGCTCAGTCGTGGCAACGCATTATTCGTCAACTTTATGAAGGTAAGGAACATTGATATGGTTTGTCTCTAAATAAAAGGTAATGACACTTATGATGGTAAACGGTATCCATATAAAAATAAGCTTCTTAATGGAGAATAATACATGTGCCTGTTATGTTTATCTATGACAGTACGCTGCATTTAAGTTAAACGGTGTTCCTGACAATACAACAAATAAGGGAATGCATGAGATACAGGTTCCACTNGTCTCTAAATAAAAGGTAATGACACTTCTGATGGTAAACGGTATCCATATGAAAATAAGCTTCTTAATGGAGAATAATACATTTTGTTTATCTATGACAGTACGCTGCATTTAAGTTAAACGGTGTTCCTGACAATACAACAAATAAGGGAATGCACGAGATACAGGTTCCACTGAAATTGTTTATTATAAAGAGTAATTAATCAATATGAAAATATATTGAACTAAACGCATAGATATGTCAAATAGTAATTGTCAAAATAAAATGGGTCAATGACAGGATATCGTAGCTAGCAAGTGAACATATGTTGTACAACACTTGTTTAAGTGTTAGGTGTTAACGGACGGATACCGACGTTTACGTAAGGGGGGAAATGTTATACATTAATTGTGATGTGTACCGTAGTTTACGTAAAGGTACACCTGTTGTATATTATACAATAATAATATATACTATTAAGATAGTAATGGACTGTTTGCGTTATAAAGCACGTTTTATATTCTAATCTCTGAACATACAACAATAGGGTTTTCATAACAGAGCGATCTTACCATTTCTTTTACATAACATAGTCTGATGATATGTTTAGATTCGGGACTTAAAGGTGAACAGGCTGACACAGAGATTAAGGTAGCGGAGAGCGACCACCCTCATAACCTCCGAGAACAAATCTTCCAATGCTGTAACCATTGGAGTGGTATACAAAGGGCATCACCAAACGTATTGCGGCAAGTATTGCTGAAGGAAGATTGTAAAGTTATCCTGAAAGTACTGCGAGAGAAATTTCCAGATGTTTTTCGTATTGAAAGCTCTGTTTGACAAAGAATGTCTTTCTTTAGAACACCAACATTTTAGAAGAATGTGAATACCTTTGAAGTTTTGTAATATCAAAAATGAACAGATATTTAAACATTTGAGTAATTTTGGTAGCGTTAATTCATTTTAAAGTGTGAACGTTGCAATGTTCTACGTTATTTCCTAAGTAACACACTCCTGTGTAAGATTGCTTAAAAAATATGACCGAATTATAACCAATCAAACAGTATAGTGGTTAACGGGGGATGGGGGTAACTCTTCGTTAACATGTTTTGTAAACAGATAGCTTGTTTGTAAATAAAATCTGCTTGTAAATATTACATCTGAGACTTTGCATATTGTTTGATTATCATAACCTTCACAGGACTAGGATAATTGCGCAATAACTCATCTTAAAATAACGAATAATATAACACAGCGTAAGCATACATGTATAAATACGAAATCTGAACTCAGCGATAGGAACTTATGCTATCCTAAAACATGAGGAAACACATCATGAACTCCACATACAAATGCTTCAGTATACAAATAGAAAGATATCATGTACTAAATAGTTTATTTGACTGCTGGACGCATGTTTTGAATTAAATACTATAATGTATACACGTGTGTAGCGAATCAGCTGTATTGCGTAGGTTCCATCAACAGAGTAGTCTGCAATGAGGAAACGAAAACAATTCAATCAGTCGTCCTTTCCGTTATATGGTTTGGCAGAAAAGTGATCTAATTGATTGACAATAGATCATAAATACCATACAAAAACAGTTCAATGCTTAATTAATAGCTGTGAAGAGGCATACCAGGATGAAGTGTTTTTGTATGGTATTTATGATCTATTGTCAATCAAATAGATCATAAATACCATACATAAACAGTTCAATGCTGAATTAATAGCTGTGAAGAGGCATACCAGCATGAAATCCATGCAAAACGACTAAAATCATAGTAAAAGTCTCTATTAATATAATTTATCAATTTATAAATAAGAAAACATTTCATAACAATTTGTGATGTTATAAATGTGCTAGACATGTTATAAACATAAATACTGAAATAGTGTTACCAATGCAATATGCTCATAAACTGTCTAGTTTCTTCATAACAACATTTTATGCTAAGACAGGAAACTCGTAACAAAGTTAATGTACAAATGTATTCATTTGGGTAAAATATGTTATTCGGACATCTGATTTTTTGTGCAGTTATCGCATGTTGATGCCGGTATGCCTTTCCACATAAGTTCCTGCATGTAGGGCGTAAGAATTGTACCTGCTGCCCCCATTTCATGATCGTCAGAGGAGACTAAATTTTGGATCTTATATTTTCTCTTCTTTCTAAACAATTTTCTTCTTCTTAATGTCTCCCTTGACAATGCCTCACATTTGGCTTTTAGTTTAGCGTTCGCCCCTGTGAGGAAGGCTTTGGGTTATGTCCCCTGGCCGAGACATACCAGAGTCTGTAAAAATGGTAGTTTGTACTCCTGCTTAATGCTAGGCAAGTTAGGAGTGGGACGACTGGTTCGCAAGTTGTCAGTAGTATATTGTGACCGGATGGAGTGTCCTGCTGGGTGTCCTCGGCACTATGTTTTAGTGAGGTAGCACTACAAAGTCGGCATCAGTTCCGCGCTATCACAAGGAGACAAACACGAACATATCGCAGTCTCCCAAAACACACTCGAATACACTACACGCATGCATATTGTACACATGGTAGGCCGTCCGTAATTGACCGTAGCTGTTGATAGGCCGTTAAACTATACTAAACCAAACCAAACGCTCCATATAACGCCCTATTAACAGCTAAGGTTTAAAAGGGCATGCCTTCGTATGTATTATGTATGAGTACATAATAAATTATGTGTTTGTTCATGTATGCTGTATTTGCCTTTTGGTGATATCGCAGATCCGATGCCGACTTTAGAGTGCTACTTTACTGTCAACAAACATTCAAACAAATCACTTTATACTGACAAAGGGTAAACTAGTTGTTGCGAAAACCCTCAAAACTGAATGCTAAGCGTGGAATTACAAAAAACATTTTGAAGGAGTCTGGTATGTCCTGGCCAGGGGACCGAACCCTTTGCCTACCCCACTTGAGCAAACGTGCAGCACTGAGGCCAAAAGTGGGATATTGTCAAGCAAGACACTTGGGGAAAAAAGGTTGATATGAAGCAGAGAGAACACAAATATCCAAAATTTACAAATGTCTGAAGCAGATCAATTCTGGTGTCCATAGTGTCCCCTTAACGGAAGACACAAGTGGGAAAATCCGGATTCTGCAGGGGCCCCAAACATTGGTCGCCTGTTAGGCAAACAGTGGGATATTGCTGGGGGGCAAGTACAAATAAATAAGCTCCGCATGACCTAGGTATATAAAATTTAGATAATTTCTTAGTATTCTGTTTGGTTGCAAAAGAGATTGACATGTGATAAGTATGGGGACCTATTTTCAAGAGTACACATCCCAAATGCATTATAAATGAATACGGTAACCTCGCTTTGTACCTGTACTATTCAAATAGCTAATTTACAAGTTCATTACATTCAAATAAGATAAAGGAAGGGCTATACCATATTCCGCTTTTCATCACGTTAATGACGTTGTAAACGCCTGACAGGTAGCTGTCATGTTTATCTTACATTTTAAGTTGAGTTAATTTATTCTAATTGTTAAGCGAAGCGAGGTCGACTCCGATGACTGTTCAAATGGCTAACAACAACAATATTTTTTTTGTTTTTTTTGTTTTTTGTTTCGGTTCCTGTTGCTGCCTTCGCATATTGAAATGGATTTGAGATGGAGTTCCAATGCTTTGTATTTATGTGTTGACGCTATAATATTTTTATAATAAATACATGCATTATATTGTTTTCATTTTTTCCAATTTGATACAAACACCTAAACTTGTATTTTGTATAAATATCGGGACAGTACCCAATCGGGACAATACCCAAATCGGTACACTTGAAGGAAAAAGTTACAAGAAATTTGTATGCTCTGCAAAGAAGTATTTTTAAATTGAAAATATTGATTTATAGATGCTTATCTACCAATAAAACATTATATGTACTTTATTAACTGCCACTTATGGTTACATTCACAGTTTTAGTTTGTGAAAAATGACGAAATTGTAACGTTCTAAATTGAAATTCTTTCAGAGCAACCCTTGACTCTTAAATATTCCAAAGATATGCCATGTTCTGCTAAATACTTTTTTCATTTCCAAGTATAAGCCAAAACTGATAGGGGTGTCCCGATTTGGGTACAGCTACAGCTGTTTCACGATAACGTAATCATGACTATATTTCCGGTTCTCTTTATAGAACCACACGCCGAAAATATCAACTTGTTATCAAAATGAAAAGATAATGATATCTATATACGAAAAAATGAACAAAATGTTTGGGATCGCTTTTATGCTATGAATTACATCAATATTTCACTAAAAAGTATCCCGAGTTGGGTACCTTGACGTTAACTGAAACATACATATTTCTGTGATTGTTTACAATTTACGTATGTCGACATAACTTTGAAAAGATGTCGACATTATCTCCGTATGAGTCGACATAATCTATATACAATTCGCATTAACTTTAAACTATTATGAACAGTAAAACATGGATAGGTGACCAATCATTTTCCAGGAATGATCATGTGATGTACTAACGGCTTATACTTATAAGGTCTGCCCAGCAATACGCTTTGTTTCGGGGTTCGAATATCAACAATATAGCTAGTATAAGTTTTACTTGCAAGTCGATGGCACATCGGAGTTTTAACACGATAAATGGCCGAGTGAACTACTTAAAACATATGTATCTCGACAAAATGTGTCTGAAAACTTTTTTCAAATTCATAAATTATGACGACATGCGTATACCGTTAGCCATAAATAAATTAAATAAGAAAAGAGACATTTCAATCAGACTTATCAGTATTACAAATTAAATACATAATAAAAATCTGTGTATGTTATCAAGAGTTGTTTAGAATATATCTTAAAATGTGTATTCTAACTAGTATAGTTAACATAGTGCAAAATCATTTATCACTGATTCATAGTGGTGTTTGGTTTACGTCACGTGGCGATGTTATTTCCCTTGTACTGTTAGCGGCGGTACATCTCACCATCAGGTACTTAGACTCATTATTAAAGACTTCTGGATTTTTTTTTCCACTTCGATGTCAAAGATGTAAGATCTAATACGAGTATAATTACATATCATCAACAACAAATTAATAACATTTACATTGAGAAACTTTTACAGTTTGTTTGTCGTTGACGTCCTCGTAAAAGCCAGGGTCACAAGAGGACAGGTGCCTTAATTTAAAGGTAAAATTACCTGTTTATTTGTTTGAGCTTTAACGTCCTCATAACAGCCAGGGTCATATAGCGACGGGTATCTAGGAAGACACAACAGCCAGGGACATATGAGGGCAGGTGCCTTAATTTAAAGTCAGAATTACCTGTTTATTTGTTTGAGCGTTAACGTCCTCATAACAGCCAGGGTCATATAGCGATGGGTATCTAGGAAGACACAACAGCCAGGGACATATGAGGGCAGGTGCCCAGGAAGAACCAACAGCCAGGGTCATATATCGAAGGGTGTCTAGGGAGACAGAACAGCCAGGGTCATATAGCGAAGGGTGCCTAGGGAAACACAACAGTCATGGTCATGTAGCGACGGGTGTCTAGGGAGACACAACAGCCAGGGTCATATAAGGACGGGTGCCTTGGAAGAAACAACAGCAAGGGTCATATAGCGACGGTTGCCTAGGGAGCGCAACAGCCAGGGTCATATAGCGACGGGTGCCTAGGGAGACACAACAGCCAGGGTCATATAAGGACGGGTGCCTAAGGAGACACAACAGCCAGGGTCATACAGCGATGGGTGCCTAGGGAGACACAATAGCCAGGGTCATGTAACGACCGGTTCCTAGGGAGACACAAAAGCCTGGGTCATATAAGGACAGGTGCTTAGGAAGACACAACAGCCAGGGTCATATAAGGACGGTTGCCTAGGGAGACACAACAACCAGGGTCATATAGCGACGGGGGCCTAGGGAGACACAACAGCCAGTGTAATGTAGCGACGGGTCCCTAGGGAGTCACAACAGCCAGGGTCATATAAGGACGGTTGCCTTGGAAGAAACAACAGCCAGGGTCATATAGCGACGGTTGCCTAGGGAGACACAACAGCCAGGGTCATGTAGCGACGGTTGCCTAGGGAGGCACAACAGTCAGGGGCATAAAAGGACGGGTGCCTAGGGAGACACAGCAGCCAGGGTCATATAGCGGCGGTTGCCTAGGGAAACA